GAGAGGAAGGGAGAGGGAGAGAGGGATAGAAACATCAGCGATGAGAAAGAATCATTGATTGATTGCCTGTTTCCTGCACACCTCTTACTGGGGATTGAGCCCACAACCCAGGCATGTGTTCTGACTGGGAATTAAACCTCGACTTCCTGGTTCATGGGTTGACACTCAACCACTGAGCATCACTGGCTGGGCTAGAAGTCTTAACTGATTACATCAGCTGGCAATGACTTCTTTCTGTTATGCCATTTTGCTTGTGGCACGTCTATTATTTCCTAGGGCTGCCATAACAAAGTGCCACAAACTATGGCTTATCACAACAAATTATTGTGATGGTGGCCTGAACTGGAATGTAGCAGTGGAGAAGGTGATAAGGAAGCTATAGGACTTCAGGTCAACTTGGATGCACCCACTCTGCTCCAAAAATATAGCAGTAGTAAATGTAAATAAAAAAAATAGAAAACCAACAGACAGATTCAGGCTCAAACCTCCATCCTACCCAGCCCCCAACAAATGAAACAGAAAAAAATTGCATTGACCACCCAACTGGTGTTGCTCAGTGGTTGAGCTTCGACCTATGAACTAAGAAGTGGATTCCAGGTCAGGGCACATGCCCGGGTTATAGGCTTGATCCCCAGGGGGAGGGTGTGCAGCAGGTAGCCAATCACTGATTCTCTCTCATCATTGATGTTTCTACCTCTCTATCCCTCCCCCTTCCTCTCTCTCTCAAATCAATAAAAACATATTTTTTAAAAATTGTATTGATCACCTCCTAGAATTGTGGCTTTTAACAGAAACTAGCAGACACACAGAAGTTCCCTGACCTGTCTTCTGGCCTAGTGACTAGATCTACGGTGTCCCCACTGTTACCACCAGCCAGAAACTTCAAAATGTCATTTTAAGTTATAGTTCTGAACTGAGAGCTGAGGTAAAATAAGGGCAACTAGAGGCATCTATGAAACCATTAAACAGGTTTTATGAAAACCATGTAGCAGTCAAGAAAATAAAACTTCTCTGGTCCAATGGAAGATAGGAAATGAAAGGGGAAAAGCAACAAAATAGGATTGGAAACAGAAAACACACAAGAGATGAGAATGTTACAACTAGATAGATCAGTAATTACAGTAAATACATATAAACAGAAGAACGCTATGTTTTATTTTCATATAAAGTGCATGGGGGGAAATTGGAAGCAACACGTTAGCAGCAGAGGTTGCTATTGTATTTTCCATAGTTCTGCAAAAGGGTGATACTTTTATAATCATTTTTAAGAAGAGGAAAATGTCTGGCAAACAGTAACAAGTGTTAATATCATAATTAACAATGGGGGAGAAAAGGAGACATATGTAATACTTTCCAAAATAAAGAATTATTAAAAACAAATATCACCATTAAAAGTGCAGAGACATGTCCTATTGGTGTGGCTCAGTGGTTGAGCGTCGACCCATGCACCAAGAGGTTGCTGGTTCGATTCCTGGTCAGGGCACATGCCCCATTAGGGGGCATGCAGGAAGCAGCAGATTGATGTTTTTATCTCTCTACTACCTCTCCCTTCCTCTCTCTCTAAAAAAAAATAATAAATAATAAATAAAACTTTTTTTTTTTTTTAAGTGCAGAGACAGGCTTTCTGTTGCAGTGGGGAGGAATCTTATCTCAGCCTTTTGAATATGCCAGAGTGTGGGTCAGGGGTTAGAGCGTTGGCCCACATACTGCCCACAACCTCCCCCCCACACACACACAAAATCCTGTTTTTTTATTTCTACAGACAATAAAAATAATCTTTAAGAACTTCAGAGGGTTTTGTCTTGCTTTAGGAACAAATGAGCCAGGGAAAGTTGCAAGTCTCCATTCTTAAATGATGGGCTCAGAGAAAAGAGGAGGGGGAGCAGGTATGGGGCAGGGTGAAGAAAAGAGGGGAGTGGGGAGCTGCTTGGAGAAGCAGAGGCATCACCAAGGCTAAAGGCCTATGTGCCTCACTTCATTAACCTGTCCTGAGTCCTGTGCCTCCTTCCCTCCTGCCTGCTCTCCCCACACTGACAGTGCTCTTCCTCCCAGTCCTACAAATCCCTTTCTTCCTTAGTTACTCCTCCAGCAAACATTTACTGATTACCTGATTTGTGCCAGGCTCTGTTCTAAGCAGGGGCAACAGAGACAAAATCTTGATTAGGTTGCCACTTTTGTTCTTTTTGGTATTCTGTTCAATTCCAC